GGTTATTACTAGGACATCATCACTTAATAATCAAACGGATTTGACTATCAGTTGATCTTTGGGAGAATCAGCTGTCGCCTTGTTCAACAGACTCGATTGTGAAGTAATGGGCCATCATTGATTGTTATTTTGCAACTGATGAACGAATCATCGAAATATTTACTTACTGAACGTTTTGTAACAGTGGAAGACTACCGAGCCCGATCCCAAATGGCGAGGGTCATTTAAGTCCTCGTGTTACTGCAGATGTTACCGCACGTATAAATAGTGCAACAAGTCTCTTATCCTATCAAAGTTCGGTTTGAATGTAATCAGCATAATATTATTATAATTTATGTTCCTTTCTTGTATATAGAAGGTTTTAAAGAAATAAACTATCGATATTTCTTGCGATCTTTCGTGACTCTTCGAAATCAAACACCATCGTGGTCAATGGCTTAATATATACTCCCAAAAGCGAAAGAAAGTCAGCAATCATCATCAATCAATGGTAAAGATATATTTCTTAATAACGCAAATATTTTAGGGCCGAATTTAAACATACCAATATAAAGACATTCATATAAACTAGCTTGTACAGATAGATTTGCCAATGTCAAGATAAGTTGAAATACAATTTGATGAGGACGCCATCGTGTGCACCATTCCTGGTAATAAAATTTGTGTTAATTATCTTAAATCATTTCTTAATAATACAACGATATATGAGATTGAGTATTTTTTTATGCGAGAGACCGTCGATTTCGTGAATGGAGCATCAAGTGTGTAGAAAATATGTTGATTTAATATGGCACTGTTGTCTCAGCGTATATCTCCTGTAACTAACGGGGACGAAAGAAAAACAAAACAAATAAAACATTACGTGCGTAATATTGTACTGATACATGTATAATAATTTTTGACAAAACACATGAGCTGCATTCAATACAGATTGTAATACGCACATAGTCATTCCCAAAAACGATCTTGAAAAGAGACATTCCATGAAATCGGGGTTGAAAAATAATCTCTTAGCAGCCCTATTTGCTAATTCATCTTACAATATAATTTTTAAAATCAAATATACTTGTTATTTTGCACGCACGTTTTCCCAATTTCTTAGCGCAAATTTTTCTTACTTTTTCGACAACGCATATTACTTCGCTGCGGATATAAATGATATATTTACTTTAATTCAATCCTGCTTTATAATTTTCTATCTCTTCATTTTTCATACATACTTTCAATGCCGAGTAATTCATCATCGACGTTTAAGAGTTTGTGTGGACTTCCTTCAACTTTAGATTAAACTGATAAAAATGCCCATATATATCCACATATCAAAAACTGTCCCCTTATTTTTACCAAGATCTTCTACCTGACAATGAACAGGACAAGCTATATGTAAATAACAAAAGAGGTATGATTGATATATAGAGGATATTCAAGTTTTTTCTATAAATACATGATTTATTTTCATCGAGTGGTATGAAAATAAATATTTCATGAGTGGCGGTAGCCACGAGTGAAATATGGTAATTTTCATGCCACAAGATGAAAATAAATCATGTATTTATAGAAAAAACTTGAATTTTCTGTTTATTATGTACATTTTTCTCTTTTTTTGCGATAAAATTTGAAAAATTTTCCCTTAAATTTTGTGTACTGGTAGAATTTAAAAGAAAGTAGTCCGGCAAGACACCAGTGAAAATACGGAAAATATGTTTCACTGCAGTGAAAAATAAATTTTTACAGTGAAAATACGGAAAATGAAAATACGCATTTTATTTCATCAATATTTCTAAATATTTCATTTATAAGTATATAATAAAATTTATTACATGCTTTTCGGTGGTTTATAGAAATATATCAGTGATATAAAACTGGTAATTTCACTGTTTGAAACAGTGAAATTACCACTTTGATAATTTCACTGTTTTGAATTTAAGCCCCTTACGTTGATTCAGTGAAATACCAGCGTACACAGTACTGGGTACCAACTTAATGACGTGACGTCGTAAATGACGTCACGTTGTATTATTATTTGGCGCGCTTTTTATTCAGTATTAGGTTAAATGTCTTTTTAAAACCTTCTTTGCATGTAATAAAAAGGAAATGTGTTTACTTTAGTGTAAGATTGAAATATATTTCACCTTGTGAACACCAAAAGTTCATATTTCACTCGTGGCTGCGCCACTCGTGAACTATTTCTTTTGGTGCTCACTCGGTGAAATATATTCCGATCTTACACTGAACTAAACAAATATCCTCTATGTATTTACTGTGCCGTAGTTCTATCATTGCATCGTTCTTGAATCAAATGATGGTTAAATGTATAATTACATGTAATATAAAGAACAAAAATATTACTACAAAATAATCAAATTAATAATAACGATAAAAATAATTATTTCAGTATTTAAAAGAATATACCGGTTATATATACTTATTTTTACCACTGGAACTGCTGTCTGTGCAAAATGTAATGGGATTGAATTGTACAATAAAGATCGAAACTAACATAGATATTCCTCTAGACTATCAAATTCCTATTAACTAACCAAAATACTTTAGACTGAACACAGAACACATATGTTATGACGTTATTTGATTGATATATCATATATGTTTAGTTTTTGTTACTTCATGTTCTCGAATATTTCTATTTGTTCACAGAACACATATGTTAAGCCATTATTTGATGGAGGTCTCAAATATGTTTAGTATCGTGTACTCGAATCTTTCTATTTTCTTTTCTTATGATTTTCTCATGACTTGATCTCTATTTCAGATTATTTCAATTGCATGAAAATGGAAAGAAACTACATCGTTGCATTCTTTCTTGGACATAAAGGGTAAAAAATTTTTTTTACCAGCTTCAAAGTTTTAGTTTATTCCATAGGAACTAATAATCTAAAAGTATCTCAAACAAGACTTTCATCATTTATAAGTAAAAATCAAGGATCAGATAAGTCCTTCAAACAAGTCAGGAGAAGATTGGATTTTCTACCTATTAAGAAGAAGGCGATAAGAAATAAACACCAGAATATCAACAATACTAGAAATCCTATAGAAGAATAAATATTGACCATGATATCAGGAGTGAAACGTTTCCTCTGCTCAACTATGTAGCAACAACCTTAAGAGATATGCTCAATAAAGGAATATATCTAACTCCACTGATATAATTCCTGATATATTGAAAAGACCTGTAGAGAAACAGAGCTTACAATTACATGGTTTCAGTTGAAGTAGGTAAACTACGACATCTAAAATATAAACAAAACAATATTAAAGGTTTCCCTTTGAATCCTTAGGTTTCTACGTAAATTAAAAGCATAAGCATTTTTCCTGGATTTCTTTTAGTCCAGTCAAAGACCTTCAAGCTGATTTTCTGAAAGCATTATACAATTAAAGACTTCTTAAGAAACAAAACTTCATTATTAGTTGACAAAATTTAAAGCTGACTTATCAACCTTCTACTCTCTTAATCAAATTCTTTGATTAACTGCTTAAACCTATTCAGTTACAAATCTCGGTAAATGATCTGCAATTCGATTAATATATGTGCTTTAATGTCATACATACTAGTCTTTTTTACAAAATTCTCAAACATTTGTTTTTGGATCAACAGTTATCTTTAATTTACCTTTAACCAAGAGATATTCATAACGTAATTGCATTGCGAACGTGGATAACGTAGCTTATATCTCTAGTTTTGTCAGAAGATCTCATTACAATATATAAGTTTTGTAACAAGCACTTTATGATTATCCCTTAGACTCTTCTGTTTAGAAATTGACTTGTCTTTCAAATTTTCTTCACTATCAGTTCTGGATTCTGAATCATTACTTAAAAAATGGTGTCTTTTTGATGGAATTATTTAGATTTCTAAGTTGTGTTTTTGCTGTTTATACTTATTTTTTTAGTTATATAATTGTAAAATAGCGTTCTGATCTTCAATTTCGAGTTTATTTATTAAAAAGTAATTACTGATATTGCTTCTGAAATTGCTATAAATATCAGAGCAGCAGAGGTTAGTGCTAATGCAACCTAGCAATCAATAATACCTGCAGTTATTTGTATTCCAGCATTAACTGTCCCACAAAAGTTATAACATTTTCTGCTTTCAGGAAGTTCAGTAAGATGAATATTTAATTGTTCTAATGTGGGAACAGAATCAGATGTAATCATTTTACTCATTTATTTAAATGTTGTTGTTTTTTCTTTGCTTGAAAACTTTAAATGAATTTTATCAGTTGAACTTGTCACTATATCCTTTCCATTCTGCTAAAGCTTGTTTTGCTACATTTAATTTCGCCCTGATGACTTTAGCGACCTCATGTCAAACTTCACAACAGATGATGGCAAGTGCTGTGTGGCAGCCGTAAAAAATTGCGACATACTTCATTTTAGTGTTTTTATATTTTTCTGGTCCTTCGAAATTATTGATTCCAACATTTTTATGTGTTGAAAATTGAGTAACGCTCAAGCTGGTGCTAGGGGGCATGAGGGATATTGCACTGTTTCATTATTCCTTGTGTAAAGACTCTATCAAACTTAGTCTGCAATGTTCATGTTATTTTGTTGTGATTAATGCTTCCGAGTCCAAATATTTTTATAAAAATGATGTGAAGAAATCTATCTAGGTATATTATTTTATGTTTTGTGAAAATGATATGAATAACTTCGGCTTGATAACTCGACCATTTTTCATGTTTTTCTTTTCATATTTGTGTTGCAAAAATATGCAATATATTTGAATGTAGCACCATATTTCATGGGTAAAAATATTTTTTTACAATTTATCTACTTTGCTATTAATTAGTAGAGCGAAAATTATTAACACAAATAGAACAACACATGCAATGTATATTTCTTAAATGAAGTTTGAATGAAATAATTTTCAATCAGAAATTAAAATGCATTTGATGATATGATCGTAAAAGAACAAATAAAATTGAAAACAAACTAGACCTAAGCATCATGTCTTGATATAATTCTACAAAAATAATATATGACGATTAGTTTGTGGGATAAAGTAAAAATCCGTTGAAGGAGGACCAATATTCCATTGAAGACGTTGGATTTGTACAGTGTGAAAGGTACACCTGATCTCCTTTGTCCAAATGAAGAACAATAGATTCAGAAATAGAACTGCTTCCTTTGTCACTATCGTCATCGGTTGGGTCGACTTGTATATTTATCAAAGCTGATGTTCCTTTGTAAAGATTGCAAACCACCTGGTCTACTCTTGAACTAGATCTTTTTTTTACAAGTGTAACGGAGAAATGATAGGTTCCGGGAATTGAGCACGTAAACGTGCCAGTTGACTTATCAAAGTCGTGTCCCTGTTGGAATATAGATTTGGAGAAAGTAAGTTTGTCCGTACCATTTATTCTACTATAGTTGAATGGTCTCTCAACAGAAAAAGCGGACATATGATCTGAAAAACAAAATTGTTATTACATAGTTACTAAACAAATGTAAAGATAATTGGGATAAATGTGACGGTCAATTCATATTTATAACATATCAGCATTTTAGCAGTTTTCAAACATTATTTGAGTTTTGTAAACGAGTTTGCATGGTATTTTTGCGGCTAATTATTTAATTTTTATTAGCGTTTGTACAAATTGATTCTATAAATGTGACTATCATAATACAGTCCGATCATTACTTTTTAGATAATTGTTAAAAACTATTGAATGTAAACCTTCTTTATTAAATCAATAAACCTTTTGAACATGCCTTGACATATTTTGTTTCCACATTGTTCTGTTTGTCTTTGATCTCCAATGCAGTAATGTCCAAGTATAGATGGTCTTGGATTTGTGCATGACCTTGACCTTGACATAATTCCTCCTCCACATGTAACACTACACACAGACCAGCTGTCCCAGCTTGTCCATCCCCCATCTTATTGTTAGTGGTAGTGTGATATAAATTATACATTTATATGAAAATTCATCATTTTACCAAATAAGAAATTGAATATCAGATATAATAACAACTATTTCAAAAATGCCTAGACATAAAGACTAATGTATATCTTACTCAAATGTAATTATTATGGATATTGAAACAGTTAATCGTTCAGAACTGCTTTATAATAGTATTGCTGTATTTAAACATTTTCCGTTTTATTTTTAGACACGTCTTAATTTGCAAACGAGAAGAAAACGAAGAAATATAACATATTTTGATCTGTTTAAACGCAAAAGTTTACTATATGATTTCCGGAATATTTTGTTTTTATTAAATATTAGCTGTTATATTCTATTTCTGTCTTATTTTAAAAAGCTAGCAATAGCTAGTCTATAATCACTTGTTCATATAGTTAATCTTACTAAGGTACAAAATATACAAAATAATACGTACTTGCACACGGTTGTTGAAAACATATTCTGTCATCACGAGAATCCCCGAAACAATGGTCTCCAAACCGAGAAGGGTAAGGACTGGAGCATGAACGGTCACGCCTCTGAATCCCAATATCGCATGTTGAAGAACATTCTTCTCAGGCAGACCAAGTTGACCAACCCCCATGGACTAAAATTAAAATGTGTATTCTTTAACATACATAATCAATTATTGTTGAGTGAATCGAACAATGTGTTTTTAAGAAAATAAGTATAGGGTCGCCCTTTTAATGGAAAATTAATCAATGTGGTCTAGATCACCCTTTAATAAGAAATTAAATTAATGTGGTCTAGGTTTAATGAAACGTTTAACAATGTGGTCACAAACGCTTACTGAGAAACCAGTGTACGTGTAAGCTTTAGTTTGAATTAAAACATCTCATTCATGTCGCCGTAAGAAAGTTCTAAAATCTGTCATAGAACTAAACGCTTCAAAGGTAAATGAGAAATAATATAAACACTTCTTCATTCATTTACATTCTTATTAAAGCTGCGCATTCTCTTGAAAATTGGTGAACCCTTTTTATTTTTTGACCTTGATTTCTTTTTATCAATATTTCCTGCCTGTACAAGTAGTCCAACAGTTTCAATATTAAAAGTTTCTTAATTTGTGAAATTAAATATTCAAAGTTCATATAAACAGATATGCAGGTTTTACTCAAAACATATGTGCTTTTTATTTGCAGTTACTTCATAATTTTTACTGAAAGTTTGTAAATTATCTTGTGGACATTTACTTTTATGCCATTTTCATGGACTGTTCGTAAAGTGTACAAGGTGTCTGGTATGAGTTTTGTCATCCATGAAACAAGTAACAAGGAAAATATTACTTAGCAAGCTAGTAGCGAGCTAAATGACATATTTTATGGATAATTTTCTGAAAAAGAATGTATCAAATGACAACGATTTCTAGATTCATATTATCATATAACTTATTTTCACCAAGAGGTAATTCGAGTACACTTTTTTCAGCCGGAAACATTTGGACTCAGAAAAGAACAAGTTGCATTGGAAATGGATTTTTTGTACTCGGGTACTCGGGAAATAAAAATGAAATGAAATTGATAGATTGAACCAAATAATGAATTGTGATGAATTTTTACGTGTTACAAACGCAGAAATGTCAAAGTTTTCCTTTAGAGGTTATTGATCAAAATATAAACGGAAATATAATATATAAACAAACGAAAAAATAATGTGATAAATGTGATGTTCGGCCTATTCTTAAACATTTATATCAAGGGTAGTTTTATATGTACCTGGACAAACTTCTCTTACGCATTGTTGATTTTGTAAATATGGACCAGTACAATTTGTCCCTCCATGCTCAGGTGCAGGATGTGTGCAGGTTCTAGTTCTAATTTGTGTTCCATTTCCACACGTGACATCACACACAGACCAATTTGACCAATTTGCCCAATTGCCGTCGACTACAATGGCATATAATATAAAGTTACTGATATTACTGAAGACATATTTTTATCTTTAATTCATTTTAAAAGACATATCTGTGTCTCGAATCATAACAGCCATAATTGAACGAATAACAATCGTATCAAAAGTCAAGTATGTTTCTCATTTGAACTGGCAATTCACGCCTGTCGTATCAAAATACATGTTGACAACGGATGTAAGATTCTTTAAATCAGATAACAAAGCAATGAGATCAAATGAAAAGAATCTCTTTTTTTTAATTCAAACTTAAGGTACTTTTACGCCGATGTTATATTACCTGTGCATAATTGTATATACGTTTAAAAGATTATTATTAAGTACAATTATGTTGGCACTTGCCAAGAATTATTATAATCTAGGACCAATAACAGTTGTGAACTTGTCCAGGAGAATCAGTATTGCAATCAATAGAATACGACTATAATGAATTTTTTGTTATTTCACACCAACTACTTTTGGACATTTGACAAAAAACTTCACTAAGAGTACAAAATGGATTTGATATGTACATTTCTATAAATGAAAATGAGGGTAAGTCTGAAAACATGTTGTTTCTGAATTTGATTGTGTGGACTCGAAAATTGGTAAAGATGCCACATGGAGTACAAAAGCAGATGTATATGGATAATCTGAATTCGAAAAGTTCAAATGAGATTAAATTGATAAGACTGTGTGAAATAATGAATTTTGATTGGAAAAATAACACAAACGCTTAAAAAGGAAGGAAATTGGTTACATTTTGTTATTAGTGAAATAAAAAAGTAATACGTAATTGTTAGAATTCCTGTAAAAACAAGCGTGATATCGTATGATGAAATTTAGTCTTATACCCATTTTGCAATAAATACATATACTTATTTCTTACAAAAATACACTATATTATCATATCGTTTGTCACTAAATATATCTAAAATATGGCATTAATTCTATTCTAGCAAACAGAATTTTGCGCTTTTGAACATTGCCTCTTTAGAAAGTAATAAATAAAGTATAAATTACTTAAATCCATGCATAAACATTGCCTACGATCAGAACAAGTTTAATCATGGAAGCGACATACTGCTAATATATGGAATTACCAAACATATCAGAATATAACAGATCAGCATTCGTTTATGAAAGAGATGCATCTCTTTTTTGTTCTTGTGCCAGATGTTTTTGACTGTTTGAAAACTTAAATAATTTGAGAAAAATATTCTGTGATATTTGTATGACTTATCTTTAATATTTCGATTGGTTGGTTTTCTACTTTTAAAGAAAATTTGAATCATTATTAGCAAAAAGAAGCAATAACTTTTAAATATTGAAATTCAATATGTTTCACTGATATTAATTTTCAATTTCCAAATGTTCCAGTAATGCACAAAAACATTTTAAAATTCTTGTAGTTGAACGGGGTCAAAACACTGTTATCTGCTTAGGGTAAAATTATTTAAAAATTATTAAGTTTATCCTTTATATCATTGAATTAATACCATCATGACCTCTTAATTCTAGATGTATTTCTAAGTCGTTTACAAATAACGAAACAAGAACCTGAGATATTTGTTCCCCTAAAATAAGAAAAATAATTGTTGTTTGGTGCGAAAGGTTTAATGTTTTCATACATGTTCTCAAATACCCGGAAAAAAAACAACCATTTGTATATGATTTTACACGTTTCCCTACATTCACACCCAATATATGTAATAGAAAGCTTGACAAAATCAATACTAAAGCAAACATTTTGTTTGAATGGTGTAAAGTTGCAACAATTGAGTTTAATGTGAAGAATGTTGAATAAATATTTTCTGAAGCCAGTTTGGTTTTGTGATATAACAAAAACTATATAAGATTAAAATGTAAGATATACGAAAGATTCTAATTTCGATAAAAAATCTCAATACGTGTTTTGAAACTCACCAACATTACAAAGGCCGCAAAATCTAGGACAAACAAGCTTTGCATGTTGTATATCTTTACATATTTGAAAAAGGGAATGAAGCTTTGCACAGTCTTCGGTCTCGTCATCAACACATGCAGACGCTGAAAAATAGTTCAAAGTACGATAATGAGTAATACCACCTCAAAATCTATATATTTATATTTAAACCAACAATATGAGCAAATAAATGGCTTAACAGTCAATTATTAATTATATAATCATTTATTAAAATCAAGACATGTTTCGCCTATACGGATCATTAGTGTTTTTTTAAATAGTAAGGGAAGTCAATCTTGATTTCTGTTTCTTTCGGTTTTACATCGCACCAACACAGAAGAGGTATTTCTTCGTCATCCAAGTTTTCTTGACGAATGGAGACCTCAGGTGCAACCCTATGCATTATTTCAGACACGAACGGGTGTGAAAATAGACATCCGACGTTCATTAAGTCAGAGGGATATCTTTTCATAATCTTGATTTATTGATAATTGCATGTAAAATCATGAATATATTTAACATGCAATTATTATATTTGAATATTTTTATCCGGTTCTAGGCACTGTCTACCTATTTCTGCTAATATAATATATAATTTTAGTTCTAACTCTTATTTACAGGAAAACAGTAAAATTGTTGAAATGATATTCCACGTCATATGATACAAATATCTTGATTGAAACATTTTAGTATAATTAACACAAGGATAAGGGATTACACAAATTAAAGTTCTCATCATGACAAAATCTTTTTCAATTTCTTAGTGAAAGTAGCCCTTTATTAGCAAATTACGTCTTAATTAGATAAAAAATGACATTGGATTATGTTATGACATAGACATTTCGTCAAACGTTCCAAGTACGTTACTTAGAATCACAATGAAAAAATCATTTTGGCAATAAAACAAGATGATTTTTAATTAACTGAGTTCAATTTAGAAGTGCTACTTTTGAGAAATATGTAATTAAGATTAAGATCTCACAGAAAAAAAAACGTTTTCTTCAAAGCCCATTAACAATGTGAACCATGTCCTTATCTTAATACATATTTATTCTAAGTTCTGTTAAACTTGACATATCGGTTATATTTTTCCTTAAACGAATTACTTTAAAATTGAAAATGGAACACATCTGCGGATGTTTCAAAATTCGAAATTTTACAAGTTTATGTAAATGTCGAATTCTGCTAAAGTCTGTGTAGTGGGAGTGGACGGTATCTCTCAATTACCACTACAGTCCATGAATATACTCAATAAAACCGAGCTTGCAATATATTATATTTTGCCGAATTGGGTTTTTGTTTAGGAATTCTGTTTTTTCTCTATTTCATACCATAATACCATTATGTTGGAATTATATCAAATTTGAAATACGTCATGCCTAATTAATTTTTGACATTCACTTTCAGTGCTGCTGTTGTGAAATATAGAAATCTGAATTAAGTGTTACCCCACAGACGCATAAATCGCAACAAAATTACACGACAGTTGAGGATTCGGTTTGATTGAGTCTGCGCATGAGGAATAATGAAAAAGTGCAACATCCCTCACGCCGCACCTATACATTTATAAATCTTGACGGAAGCCACAACAGACGAACAACTATATTGCAATAATCCTCTTTCTAAGTTGACCGGAAAAGGATCATTAATTATAGTAATAAATACTCACGTTGTAGATGGGAACAGAGAGCACTGTTGCAATGGTCTGAAGAGCAGCATTCGTCACAATGTTTTTTTGCCTTTTACCTACGGCTATACCAGCAGTATTTGTGCTTCCACAAAGCTTAAGAAACAGAAATATATTTTAAAGACAAATTCTCAAAGTGAGGCATGAATGCAGCGGATGGTCCATTTTTTTTTTAATTGGAAGGCAGAACTCACTTGTTCGGTATTATGGATATTAATTTTTTCTTACATTAATTTCTTCCGTGAAATTATTATGGGTGATTTACTTTAAAATTACATCAAACGTTTATTGAGAAATAGCTCAGTTGTTGTCAGAAAGACAGGCAGATTAACAAATTGGCAAATATGCTGTTATGCATCCCTATTGAACAGCAATATGCATTTCGGTTAATAATTTCCTTCTTTAAATCGATTACTTTATATTTGTCTCAACACTTTGGACAAATCCCTTAAATAATTGTGTTCTGGAGTAAGAATTGCCAATGCATAAGGAAACAGCTCATGAAATGTTCATAATCTTGAAGAATATTAGCATAACTCTCCTTATGTTGAAAAGTGAGGTTTCGATGAATTCCAGTAAGTGGTTGCTGAGAAATCGCCTTGAAACATTTTCAACTTAAGGCTTATGAGCACACTTTCTATACACTCTTGATGATCAAAATTAAAGAAGCGGTTGCTTATAAATGGTCAATTTGAAATAAAATGGATATATCTATGCTGCAACCTGACCGTTTTTTTTAGCTGATGAATGTACAGGTTAGAGAGCACAAGTAGTAATTGATACTGAACGTTTGATGTAAGTGAAAATACACGAGAAACGACATTTTATGATAATAAAACATAGAATCCGTCACAGATAAAGACAAAAACAACTCTCACGCACTATTGTGGCTTTGGAGTACCCACCGGAGCTCTAATATCAAGTAAAAAATATATTTCGGTTCTCATTGACCAGACGTCATACGGGATTACATTAACATGGTATTACGTTGTAAAGTATTGAAAATAGACATCTCGGATACCTGATTTTGTATACAACCCATATTGAACCTTGCAGTTCCTTTGGCTGTCGGTTGAGCTGATACTGTTGAACAGGACTATAAAAAAGTAACAATGATTTTTAGACAAATATTTTTATTTTTGATAACATGAAGTTTTATATGGTAAATCTTAAAACAAATTTAAATTTATAGGTTTTTTTTAAAATTTATTCCATATGATTTGTTTACTTAATTTTCTATCAACATCCAAACAAAACTATAGCATTGTACTATAAAGGTTACTCACCTCCCCAGAGCTACAGACAGATGTGATATTACAATCATGAACATCTCCAATAGACTTGCAGTTGAAACATTCCAGTGCATCTAAATTGGAAGTATATCTATGTTTCAGCTTATGATTACTATTACATGTATCAAATGTTTATTGAATAAATCAACGATGGCGTCATTAAATAGTTTTTGTCCATGCCATGTTTATATTAAATTTAATGTACTAATAATAGCATAGTATTTGTAAATTAGTCTGTGATAGAGTTACACTTTACCCTCAAATAAAAAAGAGAATGTGGCCTTTTTTCAACCATTTCGGACAACTTGGTATTTTTGTTTTTTCTTTTTTATACCGAAACCTTCCTTAAGTAGTTTTGAATTGCTATAACTTACAACTTACTAATCTTCTTTAATTTCGAACACAGTTCTTACTAAATGTTGATGCGAGATACTCATACATGAGCACGACTGAGTGAACTTTGGAAATGAGGGGGCTTCCAGTTTTAAGTCCATTTCTTATCAATTTTGAATTCAATTATCCAGGACCATTAGGAAAACAACTGAAAAGAAATACGCTGCAACGATTTACAGCCGCCACATAGCACTTGCCGTACTGATGTTGTAACTATAAAAGTCGGTGGAAAGGGAGATCCCTCGAAAGAAAATAAAGTAATAAAGCAATGAAATATTTTGTCACTCACTGCAATCCGGCTGAATTGAAGTTAAGACACCAAGAAGAAAGGCAAGGGCTGGAAATGAAATAAAAATTTCTAGTTCAGATAAGAATGACAATTGGCATATATTTTAAGTTATAGTTTCATTTGTATAGATAAATTACGAATTAAATTAATCAATTTATGTTAAATATATGTATTTCTGATTAACACTTACCCTTTCCTGTCATGTTTGTTGATCAATGTTCGTGTCCTATCTGTCAAAGTGTTGTGCAATTTTATAAAGTTATATGTTCAGTTAGACTAAATTTCTGTATAGGTCGTTCATTTTCGATAACCTTTATTCCGGTATGATAAGGTTTGTACTAAAAGTCTTCTCACTAAACTGGTACGTTTAATTTATACAGACGATAAATTAACAGAGCGATCTTGGAGGGCGCATAATTTTTATATTCAAAAATTTATTGAATAACGGACCGGATTCTCACAAGTTTTTTTGATTTTCCTTGGAATCATCCAAAGAATGCCAGGCGCTTTCTACTATCAGCACCTCTGATAGATCACATCTCTGCGATCTTATGGAGCACACTTTCGCATAGAAAAGTACCTGCTCACAGTGCATTATCGATAAATATTTAATAAGCACGTGACAAAGCTCAAGTGATGTGCAGTTCATACATTGCATCATGTTTTTCATGTTTATTCTTAAAAGTTATCTTATTCTGAATAAAGAATATTAAGAATATTTTGATTTCCTTATTGATCCGTGGATATAAACAACGTTATGTATTAATAGCATACTAATGATGACAAAATAATAAGCGAAACACGTTAACTAATCTATTGTGAATGTGGTGCTTAAACGGTAAACAATAGTTTGAACAGGGGGATAGGCGTGGGAAAAGCACATTTAACACCTTATCAGACGGCAAAAGTTCACAGTTCGGTACTGTCAAAGTCGCTACGCTCTACAAAATGACATTTTCAGGGTTCATTCTTCGTGTTATATATTTACAACAATAAATTAAGACATTAAGTCATTAAAAGTAAGTTAGTTCGTTCATATAACTTATTCGTCCGTGATCAATGATATGTCATAAACTAGAATACAAGCCAATATGTAGAAATAAGTTTCTCATTTCTACCATTGTGTATGTTATGTTCATGTCTACAAAATCAATTTTGAAAACAAAATCTTTGTTTTGAGTTAAAAAATAATTGTCAATGTAATGCTATTTTCATTTGATCTGTTCACTGTAAAAAGATAGATCGGCGTAGTAATCCATTTAATTTTGCGATACATGATCGGTTCTTCCATAAGTTATTTATAGAAAAGGTACACATAAATCATATTAATAAACACGAGGCCCGGGAAGTTATTTGAATCTCTCACACGAATATAAAAGTTGTTATTGACATAGGACTATATTAGTACTAATAGTTTTAATAGAACGAGGTTATATTAGGTAATGATTCACATGTGCATATGAAATAGTACGATGGTGGAAAGTCGAAAAAACGAAACAACGGTTTAAAAAAATCGAAATACTTTTATGTTTTCACTATCGTACTGTCAGTATTTCACCAACATAGTTTTGTAGTTTAGACTAACCTTTTTATAGGTCTTACTTTTTGACAAACACATTCCTTTGTTACGTATATAAATGGTATATTTACTTTAACTCAACTCTGTACTATCGTTTTTATCTCTTAATTTTTCATACATACTTTCACTGCCGGGTGATTCATTATCAACGTTTACTTTTTTGCGCGAACTTCCTTCTTTTTAAGGTTAAACTGATAAAAATATATGCCCGTATATATTCACATATCAAAACAGTCAACTTATTTTTAAAAAGATCTTCTGGGTGACAAACAGGATAAGTTTATATGTGAAACAATAAATACCAAAAAGGTATGCCAGATTTATATATTTACCGTGCCGAAAGTTATTGTAAAGTATTTTTGTTCGTCAATTATTGCATCGTAATTTAATCAAATGTGTTTAAAATGTATCACTACATGTAATATTAAGAACAGATATAATAACAAAATAATCAAAATAATTATAATGATAAAAATAATTAATTTAGTATTTATAAAGAATATACCGCGTATAAACAAAACTGTACATATACTTAATTGTACCATTGGAACTGCTGTCTGTGCAAAATACAATGGGGGATTTAAAGTAACATAGAAACTCCTCTAGACTATCATATTCCTAACTAACCAGAATATTTTAAACTGAACACAGAAAACATATGTTATGACATTATTTGAGTTCTCATATATGTTTAATTTTTGTAACTTCATGTACTCGAATTTTTCTTTATCCTTTTTTGTGATTTTCTCATGACTTAATCTCTGTTTCAGGTTGTTTTAATTGCATGAAAATGGAAAGAAATTGCATAGTTGCATCGTTTCTTCTTGTTTCTATGGTAACACGTGTCGCGACTGACTACGACTGCATATGTAATTATGCTGTTGAGAGCCGTGTGTATCAGTCCCCGGATAAGACCAGTCAAGCTGTAGGATATTTGTACGAGTTTGATTGTAAACCTGAGATCGGAGAAAGTGTCGGTTTTTATATAATAGCGTCAGAACATGAAGTATGTTTAACTCTTTTTTACAAAAAAGCTTATTGTAAACCATTAAAATACCATGGTCAACATAGTGAAAAGAAAAGCTTCCGTAGGTCAATACCGCATGCCTATTATTTTTTGTAGAAAAAGAATAGGTCTTCAAAATAGCGGAGGATAATTTCAACTGTAGTTCAGAGCATTTAGCGGAGATTTTCAATCTGACCGTACATGCGAATTAGGGGTTTCATCATAGTTTGGGTTAATAAAATTTTTACAGCTCTTTCCTTAGAAAATTTAGATATTTCAATTACTTCTGAATAACTTAAAATAAAATTATTAAAAACAGCAATTCTATCGACATGATCGGGTCGAGCAACACGCACACACGCACACACACACACACACACGCGCGCTAGCACACACGGATTTTGTCTTAAAATAAATACAAGTGAACTCGTAACAGTACTTAACTGACAATATATTACTTGTTTATCTTTTTCTTTAAAAAATAAAAATAAATCAGACAGAATCAATTAAATAAAAAGAATATAATGATGTTATAATCGCACTGGTTGGCTAGACTTTGAATACTACTATTTTTATTCTTCAGAAACGTTATATTGCAAAATCTGATCAGATCCAGCAGCAAACTTGCCCAGGGTCGCCTCCGGATGCAGATCTCCGTAAGTTTAACACATGTTTTTCTCAATTTCCTTACCTACGCACTCACAGATTTACTCACATTACCTGGTATCATATTCATTATCATTCACTAATCAGAGCTCAAATAAGTGTTTTGTTTAACCCCCAAAAAGTTAACATTTCTTCAAATCGGCTTTCCCTATCACACTCACCAAACTCAAATGCATCTTACCTGAATTACAACATCCATTCTCAGTTATGTTTACATACCTAATGTCATCTGATATTCAATTATTACATCTAAACTCTCTTTCCAGTATCTTATTTCACCTCAAATGTCAACACATTCCAGAACATTGTAATTTGACTTTAAAAGTTATACCAATTACCTTTACAAATATCTCGTATAAAAACAGAATTTAAAAATTTCATAACCTTCTTTTATATAAAAAACAGAAAAAAAAGCTTTTCACTGAATTGCCAGTCCATGCATCCTCTTTTTCTGTTTGATGATCTCCTAGGAGCTTTATCGATGGACGGTAATGCGGCCTGTCTTCAGAAATTGCTGCTTTCATGCGATTATCTCGTCTTTCATATATTACTTTTTTATTCTAAATGCCTCTTATTGTCAATTATTTGCAACCTTTTGTAATTTCATAAAATTTGATGAAAAATCCTTGTCACATTTGTGTATATAATACTGATGCCCTGTATGCGTCATCTATTCTACATGTCTCGCGCATACTCCTTTCATACGTCTAGCAGAAATTAAATTCTAGTACAGAAAGAAAACGTACTTACCTTCCAAAAATACAATCGAGAGTTTAAAATAATTGTTTGTGGCTTTGCAACATTATTTCATTTAAGTAATACCGAAAGGTACTTTCATCTTTATTGTCTCTTAGTAGGCGATATATCAATGCGACAATTTTCCAATGAGGCTTTCATAAAAAGGACTTGTACTTCACCTTTTAGCTTGCGTTTAAAATCATTCTTTTTCATTTTAAATAGCTGCCGGTTTCTTTTTGCCGCGCCAGTTTTTGGCAAATTCAACCCCTATTTTTACGCGCTTTAAAAAAATGAAAACTATCTTAAATTGTCATATTTACTAAAAGGTTTAAAAGTTAATATGTTTTGTTTTTCTATCTTTAATACTTTTTTGTAAAAATGCATTTAAAGTTTGCATTTGCCATGGCAAAGTGTGTTTTGCCATGGCATTTCGGCATTTTGCCATGGCAAATAATTTGCCATGGCAAATTAGAATTGCCATGGCAAGGTTTTTCCTACTTTTGCCATGGCAAATTTGCCATGGCAATTATTTTTTTAAAACATCACAAAACTTTCTAAAACTTATCCTATGACATGTGATTGGTCGTATTGTTATGTTTTTATTGTAATCTCTATTTTTTTTCATTTTGCCATGGCAAATTTTTGCCATAGAAATGCCATGGCAAATTTCTACCATGGCAAATTTGCCATGGCAATTCCATGGCAAAAATTTGCCATGGCATGTCCATGGCAAAAATTTGCCATGGCAATTGCATAAAAGTTTGCCATGGCAAAATATTATCATTAAAAAAAACCATTTTTTCTTTGATTTTTTTTTTATAAATTTATACATGGAAAATGACATATTAAGGAATATAATGTTTAAAATTTTAAAGTTTACGCAAAGAATATCTTTTCAACCCCGGGTCCTATTGATTAGTATAGATTGTATATGACATTTTAAAATGACAATAATTATGAGATCAAGGATCAAATATAATCATTTATGCTAAATAATAATAATAAAGCTTGAGTGGTAGTTATATAACAGTGAAAAATAAGAATCCCTAGAGAAAGCCCAACACTGCAAATTTGAAAATTTGAGCCTGTTCATGGACGGTACTGGTAGTCCAGAGGTAGGACGCGCGCTTAGGGATCGAGAGGTCCTGAGTTCGAACCCCACCAGGGGCACTGCTAATTTCCTTGAGCAAGAAATTTACCTGCGATTGCTTCACTTCACCTAGGTGTAAATGGGTACCTGCGATGGTGGTATAATTCCGTTGCGCCAAAGTGTCGGCTGCACTAAGCGGAGTTAAAAGACTCCCTAGGGATATTGATAGATAGATATCAGTAGCCCGATGACCAGGGGCAATACTAGTAGCTGTAAAGTCGGTGAACGTGCGTAAGCATGAAACTTAGACTATAAAATGCAATTACTTTACTTTTACTGGTAAGTGCAAATTACCGTCAACGTCCCCTAGCACCGGCTTAAGCAGTATATAACATTTTAACATAAACTGGTAAATTTAGAATGTTGAAACATCCGCATATGTGTTCATATGGTGGTTATCATGGAACCTTTAATGTGACACGTTAGTACCATTCCATGAAAAGCGGCATATTACAATATGCTTATAATAACATAAATAACAGACTTTACTTGTTAACTATATATAACTTTTAAACACCATAATTTTGTATAAATATGTGCAATTACATTTTTTGTTTCCGGTTTCTTCTAGTATCATGCAGTCTGCGTGATAAAGGACTGCTAAGGAAAGACAAGGAAATGATGGGAGATGCATTGGTACAAATGTTATGGAGGGCACCCTTATAACCTTGTTATTTGTAAAATATTCCGTTAACGCAACAAGATCATCTCGAGCAAACAGGACGTTTTGCCCCTAACCAAATCGGCCCTTAACAACTGCTAGTCCCAAAAATGCGCAAATTCTTGGTATAATGAGTAATGAGTGTATTAATTTGCTATCCAAAGGAAAATATAGTCAGTCTTTGTAAAATATTTTAGTATCATTTATCAAGTGGTCTGTGGAATGTTTTAATTTTCAATTTTATTCTGATGGTACTATATTTACCAGGATTGGCAGGAGTGTAAGAATTAAGTGGCCCATCATCAAATCATACGGAATCAATCCTGCGCGAAATTATCATTCTTTTAGGATAGTAACCTCAATTTCAAGAAGGAAATGTTCTAGTTGAAGCGAAAATGGAAAAGTTACCGTCCCTTAAAGAGTACTCATCATTTGCATTAAATCAAAACACATATTTCCCGTCGATAATTTGTATAAACTTTTACTGTAAAATATGATAAACAAGACCAACAAGGAAAGGAAGTATGTTTGCGGTGGTTCCCCCGTCATGTAATTTCGTTAATTCGTTATGCATATTGAAAATGTAAGCAACGATTGATAAGAGGCCGGGAAATATATTTGAATATTCGAAACACTACAGAATATTCGAACATTTAAAAACGAATAAGAACATTCGAAAAACAGAAGAAATGTTGTATTTTTTGTACATTCAAATTTCAATCAAGATCGTAAATTAAACCCTTGACCTTTACTTGTACCGGTGTTCATATGTTTGTATAACGCGTGACATCGACTGTCGCCAATTAACTGTGAAAAGTTGTGAGTATAGTTTATCAAAAGGGCAACCGTTTCACAGTTTGTAATTAACCTGTTAAAAGTATATAATGTAAAATTTTCCGATTTTAATTATCGTATTTTATTGTTTTCTGTGCTATAATATCTAGGTGGCGTGAGGGATGTTGCACTTATTTATTATCCCTCATGTATAGACTCAATCAAACCGAGTCTGCAATTTTCATGTAATTTTGTTGTGATTAATGCTTCCTGTGGATCACTTTGTTTCCAGATTTTTTTCGATCAATCTATAATTGTCTTCAATTGTGTAAAGAAAAATGAATTTGCACGTATTAATCGGCGCGTTATGAAGGCACGGAAAGTGTCATCCCTAAAGACCAAACTCGTCAAACTTGAAAATATTGCATGCTCGGTTTGATTGACCCTGTTTATGGACGGTAATGTCAAGTGCAAACTACCGTCTACGCCCCCTTGTACCGTCTTTAGCAGAATTCAACATTTTAACATGGAATGGTGAAACTTTGAATTTAGAAACATCCGCAGATGTGTTCAAACGGCGGGAATCATGGAACCTTCAATGTGACACAGAAGTGCCATTCCATGAAAGGCGGCGTATTGTCCCCTAGTAATAATCAAAGGGCTGCAAGCTCTGTGATATTTTCTGATCTTTGCAATTTCAATCGTACTGTATATCTGTATGTATTTTCCTGTATATCCTGACATCGCTAAAAATAGCATTTTAATTGATTAAAATCATATTCATCCGCGTGCATGTATTGACAATTCTATAAGTCAACGCTACTTTTAAACTTTAAATGCGTTGTAATTTGTTTGATACTTGTAACAAAAAATATTTCTTCCTTTTACATCGCAAGTTTTAAGCTGTTTTGAGAACTACATTGTATATATATAAACATGAGGACACAGAATCTAGTATAGCAATGTTTGTTTATCTCATCATATTTATTTACTGTCTTTTAGAAATAGTTCGGGCGTTTGGTTTACCAAGTACCAAAAAATGCCCCATCGTATATATTGATAAAAATAAAATTAAAGGTGTATAGAACACGGAGCGTAAAATTGGTAGGTATTGGTAGTTGGATATTCGATTTAATGGATATATAGCAAGATAGATGTGCTCTTCAATATTGATTCATGTTCGTCATGCGAAAAACTGCTGACCAGTTAAACTACTGAAAATTGCTGACCTCTTATTTTTACGGAAGAGCATTAGTGCCAGGTGTATGTTTTTTATTAACTCGAAATTTCGAGTTACTAACTCGAAATTTCGACTTACTAACTCGAAATTTCGAGTTACTTATCTCGAAATTTCGACTTACTAACTCGAAATTTCGAGTTACTTATTCGAAATTTCGACTTACTAACTCGAAATTTCGAGTTACTTATCTGGAAATTTCGAGTTACTTACTCGAAATTTCGACTTACTAACTCGAAATTTCGACTTATTAACTCGAAATTTCGAGTTATTAACTTTCGACTTACATTGCACGACTTTCATTGGTTGCCGGTGAAAGCAAGGATTGAATTCAAGATACTTTCTTTCGTGTGTAGCTGTTGCACATTGACAGAGCACCTTTAACATTTATTTAACAGAACAATTTTATAGGGTCAAATTGTCCACACATACTGAACATATCCTTCGCTTTTTGTGGAGGGGGGGGGTTGTAAAATCACACTTTCCACATTTCTGTGTTAACCGGGTGTTTCTTTCCTTAAGCACACATACAACCATCATGTGGAGAAACAACAAGTCTTAAACCCACCCTATTGTAAACTGTGCAATATCATGTGTTAAATAAGTTTTAATTGGCGTGTATACGCCAGTTAGTCTGTCACGTTTCTTTATACTAATAATGTTTTTGTAACATTATTCATTATTTACTAATACTTTGATATTGTGTTGATAAAAGTTGATAAAAGTGATACTTGTTGTTATATATATGTTGGGAATAATATAAAAGCATCCGATTTTACAAGAAATATAGTCAGTCCAACAATTTTGACAAAGGCCTCAGCACGCCCTATTTTGGCCACGCCGCGATACTTTCCTCAGATGTCCCACACGTGAAGTATAGGATCGGTTTTTTATAGGGATGAGAAGAATATGATTAGCGAAAAGATATGTTCGAACGGATGGGCTGAAGAACGCCTGAACGTACAAATCAAAGGAAGCCTTTTTTTTTAGGTCGGGTGTGTATATGCCATTACTAAGTTTAAGTTAAATTTCAATAGTTTTTGTCCAGGCAATCGTTTCTCCATCTCCATCGTTCAAAGGCACTGCCTACTATATCTTATACCATTTAACTAATAACTTTGGCCATTCTTGTAATGTTAATCTTAAAAGTCGAAATTTCGAGTTTCTAAGTCGAAATTTCGAGTTAGTAAGTCGAAATTTCGAGATAAGTAACTCGAAATTTCGAGTAAGTAAGTCGAAATTTCGAGTTACTAAGTCGAAATTTCGAGTTACTAAGTCGAAATTTCGAGTTAGTAAGTCGAAATTTCGAGATAAGTAACTCGAAATTTCGAGTAAGTAAGTCGAAATTTCGAGTTACTAAGTCGAAATTTCGAGTTACTAAGTCGAAATTTCGAGTTAGTAAGTCGAAATTTCGAGATAAGTAACTCGAAATTTCGAGTAAGTAAGTCGAAATTTCGAGTTAGTAACTCGAAATTTCGAGTTAGTAACTCGAAATTTCGAGTTAATAAAAAACATACACCTGGCACTAATGCTCTTCCGTATATTTTAGATAATTATATAGATAAAATTATGACTGGATGTAAATTTCTAGTACCATCGCACTATCGTATTGTCGCCATTGCATTATCGCACTGTTGGCATCGCATTATCGGCATCACACTATCGCATTATTGCACTGTCGGCATCGCATTGTCGCCATCGCACTGTTGTATTGTCGTCCTTGTTCTATCGCACTGTCTTATTGTTGCCCTCTAGATTATAAAGTATAACTACGATGGCCCTCACGGTATTCCATAGTAATATGCATATGTCACAGTCTGTACGTTGTTACCACTTCATCAACGTTTTCTTCGGAAACACACAAGCATCTGTCGCTGTACGTAGTACAAAGTCGATAGCATCATGCCTATGATCTTATTTTGTAAACAAAATTATGTTCCCATAAGATGAGGGTTTTTTATTGAAAAGTCCCGGATTACACTCTCTGTAAGTGTAACAGCATATGAAACATAATACCGGTACTGTTGAACTGTTGCTTGAATGTAAGGAATATCGATAAATCATACGCATCTTCTAGTGGAAAGCATAACACATGTTTGATTGGTATAACTTTTATTTAATAGTGTTCGTGATAAAAATGCATGTCGAAATGAATTACTTATCCCAAAATTAATTTATTTATCAATTTAGCTTCTAAGATGATTTGAGTTATTTTACATTGAATTTTATGTACCAATACCAACGAATCTTGATTTAGCTAATAATCAATTTCCTGGCCTATCTTAGTATTTTGCTATCAGAGGTAATAAGTTGAAAAACAGTAGTTTATGCTCATACATGAATCTATGATGTCTGGAATTTCAGTCCCGACAACATCTGCAGAAGCAACAAACACATCAGCGTCAACAACTATCACTCGTCCGATAATAACGTCGGCTACGCATACAAATATGTCTGCAACCACAAGTGTAATGCCTAATACCACAACGCCTACAGGCATTGCGTCAACAACCACATATCCTACAACATCATCATCAGCAACGACAACAACGACAATGACATCTACTACCACCACGACAGCGCCAACAAGTACGACCACTTCAACAACCACGACCACGACAACAACACCCACAACAACAACAACGACAGGTATTGTTAGCAGGTTATGGTATATAAAAAGATGTGATGTGGTATTGTCATCCAATTTTACACTTTTCAGATATTTGACTATGATTTAGTTTTATTGTCAGCAATTCATTTTCATTAGAATATTGATTTATGTACTATTTGTTTTTATTCCTCATGAGACAACAATTTGAGTTTAATTCATTCATTTTTATAGCAAAACCTACCACTACAAAACCAGCGCCAATCACTTGGCCTATAGGAACATACGGTCTTATGCAGACCCCTAGAGGATGTCCAGGGGGTGGTACCTACTGGCTTAAAGGCTGGAGAAAACAGGACAGTGAAGATTCATCAATATCAATATGCAATATCATGTGTTAAATAAGTTTTAATTGGCGTGTATACGCCAGTTAGTCTGTCACGTTTCTTTATACTAATAATGTTTTTGTAACATTATTCATTATTTACTAATACTTTGATATTGTGTTGATAAAAGTTGATAAAAGTGATACTTGTTGTTATATATATGTTGGGAATAATATAAAAGCATCCGATTTTACAAGAAATATAGTCAGTCCAACAATTTTGACAAAGGCCTCAGCACGCCCTATTTTGGCCACGCCGCGATACTTTCCTCAGATGTCCCACACGTGAAGTATAGGATCGGTTTTTTATAGGGATGAGAAGAATATGATTAGCGAAAAGATATGTTCGAACGGATGGGCTGAAGAACGCCTGAACGTACAAATTAAAGGAAGCCTTGTTTTTTTAGGTCGGGTGTGTATATGCCATTACTAAGTTTAAGTTAAATTTCAATAGTTTTTGTCCAGGCACCCGTTTCTCCATCTCCATCGTTCAAAGGCACTGCCTACTATATCTTATACCATTTAACTAATAACTTTGGCCATTCTTGTAATGTTAATAAGTCGAAATTTCGAGTTACTAAGTCGAAATTTCGAGATAAGTAACTCGAAATTTCGAGTTAGTAAGTCGAAATTTCGAGTTACTAAGTCGAAATTTCGAGTTAGTAAGTCGAAATTTCGAGTTAGTAACTCGAAATTTCGAGATAAGTAACTCGAAATTTCGAGTTACTAAGTCGACATTTCGAGTTACTAAGTCGAAATTTCGAGTTACTAAGTCGAAATTTCGAGTTAGTAAGTCGAAATTTCGAGATAAGTAACTCGAAATTTCGAGTAAGTAAGTCGAAATTTCGAGTTAGTAATTTAATAAAAAACATACATCTGGCACTAATGCTCTTCCGTATATTTTAGATAATTATATAGATAAAATTATGACTGGATGTAAATTTCTAGTACCATCGCACTATCGTATTGTCGCCATTGCATTATTGCACTGTTGGCATCGCATTATCGGCATCACACTATCGCATTGTTGCACTGTCGGCATCGCACTGTTGTATTGTCGTCCTTGTTCTATCGCACTGTCTTATTGTTGCCCTCTAGATTATAAAGTATAACTACGATGGCCCTCACGGTATTCCATAGTAATATGCATATGTCACAGTCTGTACGTTGTTACCACTTCATCAACGTTTTCTTCGGAAACACACAAGCATCTGTCGCTGTACGTAGTACAAAGTCGATAGCATCATGCCTATGATCTTATTTTGAAAACAAAATTATGTTCCCATAAGATGAGGGTTTTTTTATTGAAAAGTCCCGGATTACACTCTCTGTAAGTGTAACAGCATATGAAACATAATACCGGTACTGTTGAACTGTTGCTTGAATGTAAGGAATATCGATAAATCATACGCATCTTCTAGTGGAAAGCATAACACATGTTTGATTGGTATAACGTTTATTTAATAGTGTTCATGATAAAAATGCATGTCGAAATGAATTACTTATCCCAAAATTAATTTATTTATCAATTTAGCTTCTAAGATGATTTGAGTTATTTTACATTGAATTTTATGTACCAATACCAACGAATCTTGATTTAGCTAATAATCAATTTCCTGGCCTATCTTAGTATTTTGCTATCAGAGGTAATAAGCTGAATAACAGTAGTTTATGCTCATACATGAATCTATGATGTCTGGAATTTCAGTCCCGACAACATCTGCAGAAGCAACAAGCACATCAGCGTCAACAACTATCACTCGTCCGATAATAACGTCGGCTACGCATACAAATATGTCTGTACTAACCCCTTTAACAACAAGTGTAATGCCTAATACCACAACGCCTACAGGCATTGCGTCAACAACAACATCTCCTACAACATCATCACCAGCAACGACAACAACGACAATGATATCTACTACCACCACGACAGCGCCAACAAGTACGACTACTTCAACAACCACGACCACGACAACAACCCCCACAACAACAACAACGACAGGTATTGTTAGCAGGTTATGGTATATAATAAGATGTAATGTGGTATTGTCATCCAATTTTACACTTTTCAGATATTTGACTATGATTTAGTTTTATTGTCAGCAATTGATTTTCATTAGAATATTGATTTATGTACTATTGGTTTTTATTCCTCATGAGACAAGAATTTGAGTTTAATTCATTCATTTTTATAGCAAAACCTACCACTACAAAACCAGCGCCAATCACTTGGCCTATAGGAACATACGGTCTTATGCAGACCTCTAGAGGATGTCCAGGGGGTGGTACCTACTGGCTTAAAGGCTGGAGAAAACAGGACACTGAAGATTCATCACCTAGTAACCGTTATTCTGCCAATATTAATCATTACCTCAAAGGTAATCAATGAATATACTATAATAATTGTCAATGTAAGTTACCTTTAAAATGTATCAAAAAGTTAATAATGTAGAATCATTGGATGTTTTTAATAGGTGCATTTGATAAAAACGTGGTGACAGAATTCTGTATAAAAGATGCTTGGTCTTCTAGCAAATACGACAGACATTGGCCGAAGGGAACATACTGCATACTTAAACATAAAAGTTGTCCTGCAGGTATATCTTGTTCAATTTCTTAAGGCTTTACAAAAGTTGAAATAACTTTTTTATGCAATAACATTTATACAGTTCACCATTTGTTATTGTTTTTTTTTCTGTTGTTTTTGTTTTTTAATTTATTGAAAAGTAGAGGAAAGAACACTATTTAAATATATACATGTAGCCAGACAAGGGGTCATGTATTTCTGAAAAAAAATTACATATAACTTTTTCGCTTGCGTCCCCTATCTTTGCCGTTTCATAAGGTGTACAAACAAATTATTTTCTCTATTCAAAAACAATCAAAACGTCACTTGAAGGAAGATATGATTAAAAAAAAATAACCGTGTTTCGCCAATTTCAACAGCATATGGATCCAATTAATATTTTTAGTTATGCGTGCGGAAGCGCAACTGAAGTCTTCCCCATCATAAAAGCTGGAAAGTCGCCATATGACATACACTGTGTCGTTGCGACCTAAATCCCAATTAATCAAATAGTCAAACAAATATTTCTAGCATTTATAACACTGCCTGTTTTGTCTGTGCTAAGTCTTCTTAAGAATAAAAAAAAAACTTTTACATTTTCGTTTTATTTTGAATGTTGAATGTGAACACCGTTTCAGGTTTCAGTAGTGGTTTTATATATTGGGATGATGAAGATCATAACAATGAAAATAGTCATGGCGGTACACTCCCTGATGGAGAATTCGGTCGAAACACGAAAATATATTACTGTTGCAGGTGTGTTGTGAATTACTACCTGATATTTATAAGAATTTTAGATAATTAAGCATTGTTATAAAAAAAGGTTTACATAACCAAGGAAGTTTTATAATTAGATGTTGAATTAAGCCGGTGCTAGGAGGGCGTTGATGGGAACTTATACTGTCCAGGACCATCCATGAACTGGTTCAATCCAACCGAGCATGCAACATTTTCACTTTTGTTGTTTTTGTCGTTCTTAAGGTTTCCGTTTTTCTTTTTTTTCCATTTAATGAATAAACTATACATTATATACATCCAGCTCTGTAACTCAGCAAAACTACCAAAGCCTTAGCAGAAGAACATAGGACGTGTTGTTTAACGACAGAGCTGAGTATTTCAATATATCAAATTATTGACCATTTTTAAAATTGGAATATTTATTTTATCTTTTTATACATCCCGTCTTCACTCACTATCCTAATAAGATTTAAATAATAGAAAATTACTATTTAAAAAGGAGATAGTGATAGTATATACATGATAGTTAAACATTGTAATCTTTCTACAGTTACTTTAAGTATTCTTCTTTGAAGACAGGGGTATTAAGTTTTTTTGTATAATGATATTGACAACAATTTGTATATTCTTTCTGCAGAAGTGACGCACATACGAATACACAGATAGTTCTTCCGACAGCAGTACCGTTTGTTTTATTACGTTTTGGTCACGCATGCCAGTCTGTTCACGGTATGAGCGCACACGAGGTTTATGTCCGCTGGGACGACGAGGACAGTGGCAACGAGTCTGGGAGCGGAGGTGCTCATCCATACGATGACGGTTCAAGTGGAAATCACGCTTTACACTTTTGTTACTATCAGTCTTCTGGTGGACCTTCTTTAATTGGATAGCCTTCTAATGATTCCTTCCTTGGTGCATTGTCTCTTGCTGTTTCTATTTTCTAAAACACATCCTTAAAATACTTATTAGCTTTTCCTTATTCTACAGATAAAATATACCGACAAAATATTATACCAGCTTTATGTTGCTAATGGGTAATATCTTAAAGTTCAGCAAGGTCATGTTTACCGTGAAGGTATCAAAATTATCAAAAGTGTCAACTCTGGATTAGATAAAAATATTTTAAGGATTAAGAGTCCAAAAATTTGACAAGTGATAATGGATTCGGTTAAGTGCTAATATTTCAATAAATTCAGTTGATTGTTAACTACTTTTTTATTGTTCATAACACGAATTTTAAATTTAAATGATTTTAAAATTTGAAATCCATGAATACAAAATGTCACAAATTAAACAAACATTTCCGAACGAATAGAATAATGAATATTTATCTTCTATTTAGTAAAAAATATATGTTTGAAAATAATCGTGCTTCAGTTGTCAAGGCCCTTATACTGTACTGAAATCATAATTTAAACATTTTACTTTAACACTTGACCCCGGTACAATTGCACATAAAACACATCCCTAAAAAAAATCTGTAACATTGTTCTTATACATGTAATTTGTTGTTTTTTTTTCTCACAAAACGTTGATTGTTGATCTCAAAAATTGCTGACTGTAAGCTGCCTAATCTGGTGCAACTGGGGCGTAAAATATGTTCGTTATCTATCAATTATGAAAAGGCCGATCCAAAGTAAACCTGCATTCTACATTTATTTTGTCTTGTTTTCATTGTTATCTTGTAATCTCCTCTTCACCATATATGTCTGATGTATGTTGTGTTGCTGGGCTCCTCATGCTGCTAAGTGGATAAGATCACTGACTTTGGGGGTATTGCCTACTTGCACCTCACAGCTATGGGTATACAGTTTTTCCAGGACTTTGGCACCTTCATATCAGGAAACTATTCGGCAAGTTTTCTGAATGTCAATGAGATTACTCAGGTACCCGCATGTGTATGAAATAGTGCATGGAGGGGCAACTGAGATCTTTTAAATGACTTTAAATTTATTAACAGTGGCAGGTGCGAATAAAAACTCCAATTCTTCAATTAATGCAAAGTCAGACGACTATATACTAACAGTAAAGAGGTTTAATATGCCCGAACAAATCATCCTACGATGCGCTTGATTACGATAACTCTGAGAAAGACGAAGTGAGACCTAAGAAATATGGAGTATGATCTACGTTTCCGACTTGAAAACTAATAAAGTTATGTCCCTTGATAAGATTGGTAATATGTAAGCCTTGTCCGAAAGTAAATTAGAAAAACCGCACAGTATTTTTATTACGCCACGTTGATCATTTTATTTGTGTAACAGAGGACAATGTGTTGTGTTCAAGATAAAGTAAGACCTGAGTGATCCTATTGTGATAATAGGACGAGGAGATGGATTAGAATTTCCACAAGCAATATGTTTGAATTTGGTTAAATAAACGTCACAACATATTAAAAGTTTATTAATATTAATTGAACTCCACTGAGTTCTGACAGGCAATTAGGTGTCAAATATGTGAACAAATTTCTACACAAATCAATGTACAACATAATAATGTACACTTTCACCAACCCTTTCCAAACATTACGCTAGATGTAGATGTTTCACAAGAGCCTTTGTTGCAAAAAATGAAAGTTTGTTGTTAAATTGGAATAGATAAATTTCGTATTTTTTTTTGTTTTTTTTTTTTTTTAGGGTGTTTGTTTTTTTTTTGTTGGGGTTTTTTTTGGTTTTTTTGTTTTGGTTTCTTTTTTTTGTTTATGTTAGTCTTTGTCGCTTTACTTTGAAAATTGCTTGCTGTACACTATATTTTGCTTATAATTACTTATTCGACAGCATAAAGCTGTACATGACTGACCTTCATTCCCTTTTCCTTGACTTATAAATAATTAATGTACAGCTATCAAATGAGCACGTCCAACATTATCCACTGTGTTTTGCTTGTAATTACTTTCTGCACAACAAAGGTACAACCATAACTCACAATGTTTGGCTTATAATAACTAATTGTACAACACAGGTGCAGTCATAATTCACACTGTTTTGCTTATTATTACTTACTGTAAAATAGAGATACAGAGAGCATTTGTTATGCTTGACTTAAATTACTTATTTTACACCAGAGCCTTAATTGTAGTAAGTTAAGGAACGTAATCAAGATAATAACATATAATATTTGTAAAATAGAGTGAAATAAGAATTCATAAAGAAAGCCCAACGCGACAAAATTGAAAATGTTGCAGGCTCGGTTTGATTGAGCCTGTTCATGGACGGTACAGTCAAGTGCAAACTACCGTCCACGCCCCCTAGCACCGGCTTAAGCAGAATTCAACATTTAACATGAACTGGTAAAATTTAGAATTTTGAAACATCCGCAGATGTGTTCATATATCATGGAACCTTCAATGTGACACGTTAGTGCCATTCCATGAATAGCGGCATATGGTCCCCAAGTAAAAAAAATGCGTGTGCCCTAAACGAGAAAACAATGGGCGGAACTGAATAAAATGGAATTTCGAAAGGGGATCTGAGGTTATGAAGCCTGCATATTACAGATATAACGTCAAAAGACATATTTCAAAAGTAGGCCTCGTATCCTAAGGGTGATTCAACAGTATTCTAGTGAGGAATACTGGAACCACCCAACAAGAAAGATGCCGAATAGATAGAACTAAAATACCACAAGCACAACAATAATGTCGTGCTGAATGATATTTAAGGATCGGAAATATAACATCCCTGATTGAATGTACGGGGCGACTTTTTACAGCCTCCACACGGCACAAACAACGCTGATTTGGCGATAAAATAGAGTGAAATAAGAATCCCCAAAGAAAGCCCAACACGGCAAAATTGAAAATGTTGCAGGCTCGGTTTGATTGAGCCTGTTCATGGACGGTACTGTCAAGTGCAAACTACCGTCCACGCCCCCTAGCACCGGCTTAAGCAGAATTCAACATTTACCATGAACTGTCTCAAAGAATTTTATGAATAATGTCTTATTATTCTTACACAAAAAAGAGCTGTTTTACCTTAGCCATTTCATTTATAGACATACAAATTAACATGGATGAAACTATAATTGAAATATTAATTCAGTTCTAAATAATGTGAAGCAGCTCTCAAGCTCGCTTAAGGAATGTCAGTTGTTCTACTCTGGTAGACCAATATCGAAAATTGATAATGCTGCAGGCAGTCTCGATTTCTTTGAGCTTGTTCGTGGTCTTCATTGGTCGATGGAGTCATGAAGTCATGGTCCATGTAAGAGCTTACACAACTTAAGATAAAAAATATTTTTAATAGATTTTTAATTATTTCATACGTTTGGTAAAAATGGCTTTTATATTGTGTTAAATGTTAAACAATACTCATATCCTGTTACAATTTTGATTGCTGTTTTTGATAGCTCACCAGGACCGAAGGTTTAGGGTGAGCTATTAGTATTAAAGAAGGATGCTCTGTCGTTCCTCGTCAAGCTTCAACAATCATCTCCTGCTCTGAAACTGCTGGGCGGATTTACCTCAATTTGGTCGGTAGCATCCTTGTGAAAGGTACACTTAACGTTGCTCATGTCATTTCATTTGGCCCCTTTAAGGGCTCAACAGAGCTAAAAATAGAAAAAAGCAACTTAAAACATCTTCTACTAATAAAATGATGGATGATCACCATTTTGTCTGTCGCATTCTTACATCGTCATTTATCAAATTTGCTAATATTAATTTGACTGGACCCCTTTAACTTTTTTGGGCCGCTAAAGCTAAAAATCGAAAAAAACTTTAATCGTCTCCTTTTACTGAACAAATGAATGGATGATCACCAAACTTTGTCTGTAGCATTCGTAGGTAGTCTTTAACTTGTAGCATTCTTACGTAGTATTTCAACAAATTTGCACATATTAATTTGATTGGACCTTTTAGAGGCCTCTTGAGCTGAAAAAACAACAACAAAACAAGATCAATCGTCTTCCTCTTCTGAACTCATTGATTGATAATCACCAAACTTTGTCTTTAGCATTCTTTGCTAGCCTGTTCTCAAGTTTGCTAATTTCAACTCGATTGGCCCCTTTTAGGGGTCTTTTGAGCTAAAAAATAGAAGAAAGCTTTAAACACCTTCTCCCTCGTGTTTCCAAAAGGATCATGCGCTTTTACAATCATGCCATCTATATCAATCATACTGTTCTTAGATGAAAAAATGATGTACAATGTTGTTTTATACATACAATATTTACAAAGTTAATGTATTGTTGTAACACGTATATTCAGAGGTTAATACATATAATTCCTTTGAAGTCATATCGTGATATGTCCATTTAAAAAGCGAGCGGATTCAATAAAATTGAAAATTTGAGTTTTACACATTGTTTTTTCTGAGCAGGTTAATACTCCTTCTTTAATGTTAAACATTGTGTATTTCTAATAGATTTAAATATTATTCAAGGTTGGAATAATAAACAAATAACTTATACGCACGGGATATCATTTAAGTTGGTCGAGCATGTATTACCCTGTGCATAACGTTTCTTCCTCGAATCACAACTCTACATGATTATTTATTCATAATATTTCACATTGTTATTTTATGCCTAGGGCGACATCGAGGGATGTTTCTGCTTTAAAATCCTGTCGAGGACGGAAGGCTGAGAAAGATTTTTTCGCAGAAACAACACGAGATGCCGCCCAAGCCAATGTTGTACCTCGTAAGAACTCGTGACTTATGGTACATTATAATTATTTTATCAATTTTATCAACTATATTTTTACGCGTTTTTGCAACATAATCAAGGAACGTGTGATACCCCCACTCCAACCTCTGTTAAAAAACTTAACTGATGTATACAAGGTTTAAAAAAGACAACAAAAACTCAACTTTTATATATAGATTATTAATAAGTATTTCCTTTATGAATCAATAAAAAACTGTAGTGTAACATATCAATACATTTTTCAAATCCTAAAATATTAACTTAAAGTGTACTGGATATAACGGGTTAATAAGAACAAAGAAAAAGTTCCAAACCATGCGAGAAATTGAAACTTAAATGCGCAACACATTTGGTATTTTATCACAATTATAAGAAATGATATGTGGTTTTAGATGAATAACGGATACTAAAAACAGTCAGTCATATTTTTTTTTAAAGTATCACAAATTATTTAATTAGAATAAGAAACAGCATATCTCTTAGATAATCAATATATACATGTAAAGTGTGTTGAGAAAAGTTTTGCCGACGGAAAACAAACTTTAATTGTGTTGTATTGAATGTTGAAAATACTCAAAGTAAAAAACCAACATTTTATAACAGCGTTTTAAAATATTTCTCATTTCAGTCTCTGTGGATGTTTCTAAATTGAAAATTTTACCATTTCATTTTTTTAATGCTGAATAATGTTTAAAGGTAGACACACTCAAAATATTCATTTCTTCTTTTAAATATTTTCCACCCATTATTCTGTAATTGTCCTCAAAATGAAGCGGTTTAGCAAGTCCGGAAGCGCAGAAAGTCCATTAGTTCATGGAAGTCATAAGACCCTTTGTTAAAGCAAGTCTTTTTCAAGGTTGATATGGCATAGACACCTTAAGTAGTGGACTCGCGCAGACTGACGTCTGACAATCGCATACTTAGGCACCATCCCAAACAATTGACGTGAGGTCAAAATATAAACGACGTCAAAGTAAAATAAAAAAATGATTTCTATTCGAGAGCTAAAATACTTATGACCTGAGTTCAAATAATTTTATCAACAAGAAAATTATATAGTTAAGATGTGTTAAAAGTAATTTTGACAGCGATGTTGACATAGTAATTGTTTTATTTCATAACTCCCAAGTGATCGTTCTCTCCTTGTCTAAAATGTTTATATACACACATGCGTGCGCCCGCACGCGAGTACGCAAGCACAAAAAATATGCGCAAATAATCAGGCATGTTAAACGTTTGTTTTAAACATCTTAAGTGTTAATCGTGACATGAAAACATAACAAATCACAAATCTTTAATAATTTATAATACTTTCATTACAGATATAGAACAAAATAAAGCATATACCAATCTTTGTGCTACGATGCAGATGGAAAAAATATGATGAATAAATGTGTTTCCAGAAGACTTAAGTCCTCTTTTAATGATAGGCATGTCAGTATTAGTGTGAATATGCACATAAAACATTTTATATAACTGTCATTCAAATCTAGTGAACAGAAAAAATGTTATCAGTTAATTCTGAACGTTTCCTCGTCGAATCATACTGTGCCTGTCTAGTAATCAATTTAGATTGACAAAAGGACCTATTTCAGTTCCATGACATTTACCTGGTTTATCACATATTATAGAGCAAGGATTTGTATTAAATGATACTATTTCTTTTCTTCAAACCATGTCCTTGAAAATAAGATGCTCAGTATTCTTTTTTAAAATTCAGTTGATGGTGCTGTATATACAGGGTGCTATCCTGTGAACAAATTACAAATATAGTATCGAATCCATCCCAGCAGATTGAATGATACTTTTCCCCTATATTGCCCTTTTCAATGACTGTGTAGAACGTTTTTCCATCATCTATCGTTTGTGTGACCTTACCGTCGGAAAGCAAAATAAACATGCTTTCTGCCTGAATCAAAGCAATGCCTATCGGTTTTTTGACGTTAGAAATGATTTTCATTAGACTGAATGGTTTTACAGAAACTATCACTATTCCAGTTACGGTATCAACAACATATATCTTCTTTTCATCTTTTGATAATTTAACTTCCCCGATTTCATACGTAAATACAGTGTCACCTTTCTCGTTTGATTTTAGTACATCATCCAGTTTTCCTTCAGATGTATATTTACGAAGTTGGCCAACTTTTTCAAGACGGACAGTGACATAAAAGCAACCAAATAAGCCAGACGATTTAACTATTCCTATGCATGACTCATGCGTCTTTAGTACCATCCGCATCTTCTTGTTTTCGGTTGGACAAACAACTACACCCTTGTTAGGTAATGCACCGCAAACATTATTATTCACTGTCTCTACGGAAGATACCAGATCCGGAAATTCAATCTCTTGAGATACTTTTCTCATTGTATCATAAACAAGTACTGACTTTTCGAGCGGTATCATCAATCGGGAGGATTGTTTGTACACACTTCTGTGTAACTCTATATTTATATCTATATCAGAATGTTTAATAGCAACCTGATGGAGAGTGTAAGATCGTTCAGTTTCTTCATAAATACGGATATGGTCTGCAAATTCAATAAGCAGTTCTGGTTGTTTCAAGATTTTTAAACACAGTGAACTCCTCATTAGTTTGAAATACTTTATGTCGATGTCATTAGCCATTGCTTCTGCAGTCGCCTCTGTCATATTTGTTAGTCTCAATAGTTTCCTCATATTGATAAACTGCGTAGCTGTCTCTTTGAATTTGAAAGCAATGTTTCTCTTCTCTAAACTGTTTTCCATGTCACTACATATTTTCAAATCAGCTTCTAATTTTGACCGAATCGTTGTATATTTCTTTTCTAAAGTTACAGTACTATTTTCACAAATGTTATTGATAGCAGCAAGCATGTCAGTTCGAAATGACTCGAGGAAACTCAATGCATCTCGTTTTTAACATCTAACATAGCAATGCATTTTGTGCTTTTTTCTTTTACTTCATTTATCTTACGTAAGCACTTTTCTTTTCTTTCTCAAACATCGGCTAAATCCTCCTCTGTAATTTCAGCTGCCATTTCATTTATACTTAGCTTCTGCGTACATGACCGATGCCTTATGTTCAAACAAGAGACGCAACTAAATTCATCATGTGGAACACAAAAGTGGTCGAGATATTTATCCGTATGGTAAAAACATCTTCCAGCGTTCATGTTTTGATTGAAATTAAAGTCCAACTTAAAGTCCAACTTATTTTCCTTTAGATGATGGGTCTTTGTCGTACTAAATCTACTGTGAGCTTCTATACACGACGTGCAAAGGTATTCGTTGCATTCTACACATAATCTATGAGTGCTGACCTCAATACCTTCATTTAAACACGGCTGACAAAGGTTGGCAGGCAAACCCTTTTGAAGATCTCTTTGTTCAAGAAATGAAGCTTTTGCGCCATCGACTTCCTCCATTAGATCTCTGTTGAAAATATAACGGGATGTTTTTATTGGTTAATTTGATTAGTAAAAATTGAATTAAATAAAAACATATCGCTTGAAGAATATTGATACTTTGAATGAAATAAATAAAACAATAACGTTTATCGATATGTTCAACTTCCTTATGTTGTACAGGCAAAGACCGTTTAAACATGTTTTATGAACACTATATGTATATAACAAATGGAAACAATGACGAGTCATTATTTCGCAGCAAACTGTTTCAATTATATTTAAACACCTTACAATCATACAAGAAAAGCAATTATGTAACACGTGTAAGTTTTTCATCTTGTTTTACTTCAAGTTATTTTCTGTAACTTACCGAAATGTTTTCCTTTTTCTGCAATTACCTTTGCATTTTGATAGTAAATTTGAGTATGCTGATAAATAAGTCCACCGTTAGATCATGGATATAATTACTTAAAATAAATTATTTCTTTATAAATCAAACGTACTTAGTTGTTCGGTTTAACAATTGTATAGTACCCGCCATTCTTTAAGATTTATCAAACATATGACAAGGAGACCTGCTAAGAAGACGCAAACATAAACCCTTTAACTCTTGTGTCTCAGAGTAAATTTATCGGACTTCTTCCATATAATGGTAACGTATCAGTGTACTGGTGATAGAAAGCTGCAGACGCCTCTTCGTATATTGTATGGGCACCTCGGTGGAAACGCCATATGACATTTACAGTAATGATGAGACTTAATCCATTAATTTAAAATCAAACTCATTAAACCGAATCTGCAATATTTTCAATTTCGCCGTGATGGGCTATCCTAAGGGATTCTTAGTTTCTCTATTTCAAAATCAAACAACAACAGTGTATGAATTAAAATGCATAAACATGTATGATTCTGAATTCATATCTTAAATGAAATACATTAACTTACCTAAATATCTAGCCAAATTCATAAAACAACGCTTACTAACTTTATAAAACTAGCAGTATAACAAACCAATATTAAGCTCGATACAGTCGACCTTCTTCAAGGTTATTCTTTGTAAACGTGATTTTTAAGGACAAACGCGCATATGTTTTATGAATAAACATTTAAACCAGATTAGTTAGACAAGTACGTATTGTGTACAGTATAATGGTATCAAATAGTTTTGCAATGTTCGACAGAGGTACATGTATAGGCAGTACATTATAACATACATGTATATCTGCTGTGTACTGTTACATAATGAATACGATTTTAAGACAGACATTTGGCTTTATTGAAAGTAATACTAATTGCATAATTTTATTTGTACTCATTTTTTTTATTCAATTAGTTTCCACCCTCGAGTATATCGTTTTTAGCTTTTAATCGTCTGTTTAGATTGAAACTGAATTTATGTTGCAAAATGCATAATCCTGAATGTCATTTTAGATACCACACATGGTTTGAGCGGTTTTGTTGTTTTTCGTTTGTTTTTTTAAAATGTCATAAAAAGATGAAATCTAACCACAGGCTTGTACATTTATATGGACCTAGATGATGAATATATGTCCAGTCAGATGAAAATTCATCTGAGTACATGTATTTGCATTGTTTTACATACTGTAATTTTAAACCGTTGCAAAGTTTTATCTTATATAAATTGATTTAAATTATAAACACACCCGTTAAGAGAGTGTAATCAGATCAGTTGGTTGCAGGTTGACAATTGTGCGCTTGGTTAGTTTTTTTATCCCGCAATTGATTGCTGCACAATATATCATAATAATTCATGTCTATAAAAAAGAAGATGATATCTTTCTACATGTACCCCGGTTAAAAACTGATATTTCTATAGTAAAATATGAAAAACAAGATAATTAAGGAACGACGGCGTAAATAAAGACAACCCCAACACGAGCAAGGAACGCAGGAGCACCGGAAAGGAGCCCAGGACGACCCCCCTCCAAAAAAAAAAGAAAAACAAAGAAGAAAAAAACACAGTACAAGACACAAGGCAAAAGAACGGACGGGGTTATTACTTTGATAATATATAATAGGAAATAGACAAGAACATTTTAGAAAACAATTAATTTATAAGTCTACAAAAGCAACGGGGCAAAGGGGTATTGGGGAAAGGGACTTGAGGGTCGGAGGAGGGGTTGACCTACACTTACGGTGAATTCGAGATTAAATATATATTTATTACATCTATGTTTTCTTTAAGAGGAATTAATTTCCTACCACTTAGTACACAAATTTTAAAATTTGGTGAAACAATGATGGAGTCATGAATTTCACATTATAATGAGTGCTTAAAATGAGTGGCGATTTGCTTATCTTTACTAAATATATATCCATCATTTTTTTTTTATTTGGTGAAATGACCAGTCAAGCGCCGATCACCTGCGATTGGTGCTCCAACTGCCAATTAGTTATCAAGTTACAAGTTATATTCCTACTAATTATGGAAATAACAGCAGTCAATAGTGGGCAATAGTATCAAAATTTATTTTAGCACATGTGACTTTGACCAGATTACCTCTAACTCCACCTTAAGGAGGAAATCTACTCCATTTATGTTTTTACCAAATATAAAAGACCTCTGTCAATAGATGAAAGTTACACCTGTAATAGTGAAATCCATTTTTTGGCATTGGTGACCTTGACTAAAATGACCCCTCACTAAACCCTAAGGAAGAGGACCTCCCTAGGCATGACCGTATTTAACATGCAATACATCAATTTACAAATAAATGCTGCATCATTAAAATTGTATAAATTTATGTTTTTACACCAGTAACCATGACATTGACCCAAGTTATCCTTTACTTAAAAAATACAGAACTTGTAAACCAATAAACATTTCCTCCTATAACATTAAATAAATGAAGCACTTAGGAAAAACTTAAGGCAAATTCAACCTGCCGAAATAGGACCAATTTTCAAAGTTATAAAAAGCCAAATGTCTTGGAAAATGGATGACACAGTTACATGTATATATCTTTAATTTATGTAATTTTGTATTTATCAATAAGTGTGAAATTATGAAGCCATTAGTACAGATAAAACATAAGATGTATCAAACTTGCCGGTTTAGGTTAACCATATCCATTTGAAAGTGCTTAAAAGCCAATAACTCGGTAGAAATGGAAGTCATAGTTATGTTACTTGCCAAAACCATGTACGTTGTATTGATTTGTAAGTGTGTAACTTATGAAGCCATAAGAAAATACAGAACTTCTTGAAGTTTTTTGTTTAACCTCGAACGGACAGACGGACCCTCTAACGAGACAGTACTTATGTGGCTACTATATTGTTCTCTCTACCGTCCTTTTCAGCCAGGTTAAGGAAAGTAGCCACATCAAAGCATTACGGAATGATTACATCAAAGACAAAGAACAATTACCTATTCTCCTTCTAGCCAAATAATTAACGAAATGTTGAAACTCGGATAGATGGACGAACGGACAGGCGGTACAAATACTATTTGCCGATACAAAGTGCTAAACGAAAAAAAAATATTATATTCGAAAATATGGCATAACTCCGATAGCACTGTTAGCAAGCTAGATATTCTAATCTGTACCGGCTTAGTGTAGGATCATTTCTTTCACACAGTAACTATCGAGTACGAATCTGTAAAATTTAGTCAAATCCAACCCAGTCAATGAATACTCCCGATATTACATTTATTAAGAAGACAGATCACCATATCACAATGATATGTGGAAACATTATATAAATATGTGCACGGGGGAATAACTCGGAACTAATAAAAAAATAATATGAAAATTTTAGACTCCGTTTGATTGGGTTTGTTCGTAATAATAGATAATGTAAAAGTGCAAAATCTCTCACGCCCTTTAGATCTGGATTATATGTGCCAAATACGTATAATTCCACGAACATGTACGATACAATAGCTTCTAAGTATGAATACTAGTTTACTAAATTAGTGTGAAAGAACGTAAAAGTACAAGTATATTGTATTTTTCGTTATATATTTTACAGCGATACTTTCGTTTGATATGATCAGTAGTAACTGTATTTAATCTATGACTAAACTGTGAGCGTTACGATATACACGGAAGATCAACGTATAAGGAGAGGATTCTATTGAAAAAAGAAAAGTTAAACAGAATAAAACATAAAAAAAATATTTTTAAATAAATTATATCTGTCATGTATCTGACACTAAAAAATAACGAACAAAAGTACAAAAAACTAAATAAAACATTGCAATATGATAGGCTAATAAAGCGTGAAAAGCTACGGTAACCATGATATACCTTCTTTATAGGGTATGAATACCGCTTGAGCTGTCAAGTAGTTATAAATTCAAAAGACGTATTGATGCGAGACCAACTATCAACCTGAAAACGGAAGTAATGCGGGTAATAGGAGCTGAATATTGTCAAAAGTTCACAAATATTGAATAAGAGCAAATCGTTTCATAAAAGCATTTTACTACAGCGCTTAAAAAATTAAAAGAATATGAATCAGTTTATGCAAATTCCGATGATTGCAAAGAAGGACATATCTCATTTGAAAATGGATTAAAATGATTACAAAATAGAACATAAGGTCATTTGAAAGACGATTACAATGGCCGAACAAGTAAGTGGAAGACGACAATTGAAAGACAAAATAAGACACCATTTGTTAGGGGAGAAGAGAACTGAAAGTTATCATGCCTCCGGTTTTGAAGGCTCGGAAGACACCGCAATAGACATTAAGAAACCTGAAGACGTTAACGAGCATAAATGCGATCCTTGTAAAAGTTTTGGAGATATTTTAAATGCTGAAGGCTTTTGTACTGTTTGCAAGGAATACCTTTGTAACACATGCTTTCGGAGTCATTCAAAGAACAAAGTATCGAAACATCACTATCTGTTGAAAAAAGATGACATGCCAAAGAAAACTTCAAGGCTATGTAATCCGTGTAAGAAAGCCGGAGATGAAATAAAAGCAGTTGGTTACTGCAAAAATTGCTGTGATTTCCTGTGTCATGATTGTTTCAAGAGTCATCCTAGAAATAAATTTTCAAAAGGCCACATGCTTGTAAAGGAAGAGCAATTTGAGCATGTCGATCAAGTCGGTACTTCTTCCTCTGCTAGTATGTCTTTAGGAAAAGAAACGTCCAGTGCCAAAAACATGACAGCAGATTACATTTATGTCCGAGATATAAATGTAAAGTCAGTTTCTGATAAAAATAACTGTTTCATAACAAGCATGACGTGTGTTGCCAACAATAAACTTGTCCTCGGTGATTGTGACAATAAATGTCTGAAACTGGTTGACACTGATAAAAACATTATTCAAGACGTACTATCGTTACAATCGAATCCGTTAGGAATAACAGCGGTATCTAATAAACTGATTGCGGTTGCATTTGACAGCAAGTATCATATACAGATTGTTGGAATACATGCGAAACTAATTGTGGGGCATACAATAAAAACAAATGGTATCTGTCTTGACGTTACAATGATGAACAGACATTTATTTGTGTCATTTCGTTCACCTGTTAAGTTTCAGAAACTCAAACTGACAGGCGAAATAATCAAGACGATTCAACCGAATGACGAGGTTCTGAAAAATTGTACAAACCCTCGTTATATTACGGCAAGTCCTGATGAAAGTGTTATCTACGTGTCGGACTGGAAAACTAACAAAATTCTGTCCCTTGATATGAATGGTAATATCTTAGCCATGTTCCAAGGTGAAATAGATGAGCCCCACGGTATTATAATATCTCCGAGTGGATTGATATACGTCTGTAATAGAAAACAAGACGTAGTGTACAAGATGAAGTCAGATCTGAGTGAAGCTTTGGTGATACTTGGACCAGGAGATGGATTAGTATACCCACATGCAATCTGTATGAATAATGACAATCAACATCTTTATATCAGCAGTGGAAGTTTGAAGGCAAAGCATAAAAACGTTTTGAAAGTTTACAAATGTTAAAAACAGAGCCAACAAAAAAAAAACATTCAAGAAGGTTCAAGAAGAATTATCAAATATACTGGTAAAAACCTACGATAATATTTCAGAATAAAAACAAGCAGAAATAAATCAATGTTTTGATCGATTATTTCGGAAAAAAATCATTTATGTTTATACAGTGTAACAATGGGGAAATCTGAGTTGTTATGTAAAGTTATGACATACTATC